CTCATAAATGTAATCAATATCGTGAATGGCCTTTAGTCCTTCAGCCACATCCAGTGCTATGCGCATCCTCCTGTACAGCGGTAGTCCTTCTTGGAGAGCGCACAGCAGCACCCTGTCTGCCTTCTCCATGACGACGTGTAAGATATCATCCGTAGGGATAACCCAGCCATGCAGGCGCAACAGGTTTGTGTGAGAGCCATGGAGTTGCTCAATTATATCCCTAGAGATTCAAAGGAACAGCATAGTCAGCAAACTCTCTTGTGGTTTAATAACTGGGCTAATTTTTTAATACGATATACCACATCAGTCCGTGAACATGCTCAAAGCTCGGAAAAAAACTACTAACACTACCCAAATCTCTGACGCGAAAGTTCTTTCGTTGGGCTTAGATTTCAATAAAGCTCGTCCGATTATGACCCTACCGGATGGTGTTTTTGAGACTTTCATGCCAAAACATTCGATACCTGTTAGGCTTATTTTAATATATTTTTTTTATGTTAATTTAATGTTCAATTTTATTTCCTTTGATTTATTGCCTTGGGCAACCATTGCCTGCAATAATTCACAAGAAAATTTCTTATGCGACACCGTCTTTTCAATTGCAAAATTTCTCCCGATGAAAAGCCTTAACGACAACCAGTCCACCTCTTTTGAACCGAATCTAAGAAAATATTTTAAATAAACAAAGAAAGTGTTTTGTGCAAACCTTAATTAGTCACACTCTCTCAAAATTTAATCAAGGCACTTGTAAATACTTGTGGATCGATTACAAGTTAGATGAAATTCAAATTGTCGCAGTCTTCTTAACTTAGTTTTGTGCTGATTTTAAAGGAGCGCTCAATCATATACAAAATTGCTCTTTTGACTGAAGGAAACCTGAAAATAATAGTTTACAAACATATAAAAACACCAAAGACAACATAACAAACCATAAAGGAACAAGGAGATTATGGATGTGAAGATTAACACGGATTAAAAACGACGAACTTGAAAAAGATGCGCAGACCGTGACGTAGCTAATTAATTTCAATCTATCATTGGAGGGAAGGACAGATCTCTTTAGCCCATCGGGTATGAAAACCCCGCATCTAGATTTTTTGCTTATACTTGACTTTTCATTCACTGAAAACTTTGGATGCATTTTCTAAGAAAAAAAAAAAAAAAACACCTCTGAGACTCACCTCATATTGACTAAATCAACAGCAGTCTGGTTCCAGGCACTCTCTCCCACATCTCTCCTGTCAAGAACCTTAACCACACACTGACCGGAAGGCGAAGCTCTGCACCAACGTGGGCTTGTGCATTCATAGATAATGCCATGCCGTGCTTGGGCAATAGGTTGACCGAGGGTAACAGGTCCAAAGATCTGTAAAAAATTCAAAGCCATTCCCTCAACAGTCAGCTTACGTATCTGTGGGGTAAAGTAAAGACGAAACACTTCAAGCTGCGATGACATGTCGCTGTTAGCAAAGGCGTCTTGCAAGGAGATGAATAAGGACAAGGCAGTTATGAATTGCTCGTGCGTTTTCAGAAGGTGACTAGTGCAAGCTTCTCGAACTGAATCCACTACGTGGTTAAAGTCAATGGTAGCCAGTAGAGTGCCGCAAATGTTCAGTCTTGTTGTTTTCTTGAGAACATCTATTTTAATAGCAGCATAGCTTGACAAGTCTTCCGGACAGAGACATTTGGAGAGAGGTTCCGAGATCTCAATCCTCAATGCAATTCTGGCAACTTCGCTCATAGAGTCAAGGAGTGCATTCATCACAAGTTGAAGAAGCTGATCGGTTTCTACTTCAGCTGCCAACAACTGGACGTCGTAAATTTCCTCTAGAATGCGAGAGACAATTGGATTGCTGAGGTCTTTATTGAACTCAGTCACAGCAATCGTGAGATCATTAACATAATCCTTCATTAGCACTTGAACAGCGTTTTCAAGGATTTGGCATGTCTTTTCCAAGATGCTGCTTTTCATGTCGCCAACAAATTTTGCAAACGCAACGTCAAAAGCAGCGTTCAGGAGTGTGTTCGAGTAAGATGGAAGCTCATCTCTTACCATGGTCTGGAATTCCCGTTGAAGTTTGGGTGGGCTTTCAACTTTATACACTTCGGCCTCGTGTAAAATCTTCGTCCTTAGTAATTCCAAGTCCTCTAGAATCTTCCTTTTTGATTTCTGTGACTCAAGAGTAATTGTTGACAATGATTTGACCATTTTGTTTTGAACCTTGGTTGCCTTTTGTACTATTTCCGGCACAACAGATGCTTTTTGCGTGATGGAAGTCCTTTGCACCTGGACGACGTTGGCAAAGCTTTCTTGAAGAACCAAGAGCTTCTGCACTACTCTTCTGGTTTGGTTCTTTATGACCTTTCCAAGATGATCCTGCAGGCTGGTTTGAAATCGTCGAAATCTTCTAGTGGACTCTGCCTCCCGCTTTGCTAAGCGCTCTTGGCGAACTTCCTTTGCCGACATAGCGTAATAAAAGGGACATGTTTCCCACGTTTCTCCCAGGGCAAACTTGTCTCTCAACTGATTGAAAACAGCTTCTCCTTTCTTAATAACTGCTCCTTTTTCCTCATGCTCCTGCTCCTGCTCCTCTCTGTTGACTTCCTTGTCCTCGTCTTTGTCTTCGTCGTCATTGTCGTCGTCATCGCCATCACAATGACCACCGCTACAACCACCACCACCGTCGCCGTCGTCGTCGTCGTCATCTTCCTTATCGTGAGAATCTTTGCGAGCCGCTGCCCTGCGATCATATTGCTTTGCTTCTTTAGTAGTGTCCAATTTGTTGCAGACGAACAAAATGTGTGATAGGGGGAATTTGTCTTTCAAGAAGTCCAGCGTCTTATGATCCTTATTAAAGAAAAATTAATTGAAAGAAGTGGTTAAGAAAACATTTAGCTTTCAGAAAACTCAATGGCTCAGTGAGGGAAGACATAAATGAATTCCAATGGGCACTGAGAGGATTCGATGTTATTTTAGTGACCAACTTCAGAATGACGCCAGGTCGAATTGAAACCACTACAAACAGGATTACCCAAATTTTAGGGGTGAGGCCCGGTTACCCATTATAATCAGTCGCGTTGGGATAATGATTGGCCAGTTGGATCACGCATCGAGCGGTCAAGACAGTTGG